CTGTCGTTGCCCACATGAGCGTGAAAGTCCCCCACCAAAACGAGGGAGTCACTTGAAGGAGCATTCTCCAGCACCCCCTCCAAGGACTCCAAAAAGGTTGGGTAGTCTGAGCCGCAGTTTGGTGCATGAACACAAACCACAGTCAGGACCCATCCCCCCGCACAAAGGCAGAGGGAGGCTACCCTGTCATTCACCGGGGTAAACCCCAACATACAGGCACCAAGATGGGGGGCAACTAGTATGCCCACCCCTGCTCAGCACGTCTCAGTGGAAGTAACTCCAGAGTGGTAGAAAGTCCAACCCCTCTCGAGGAATCTGGTTCCAGAGCCATGCATTGAGGTGAGTCTGACTATATCTAGCCGAAACCTCTTACCCTCACACACCAGCTCTGACGCTTTCCCCACCAGAGAGGTGACATTCCATGTAGGGCTGAACGATCAATCTTATTCAGACCGAAATTGCGATTTCAGAAAACACTATTTCAGGATCGTCAAAGCTGCGGTTTTTGGCTGAGCAACGAACTGACCGAGGATCAGCTGTGTAACATCACGACTCTCCCCCATACTGGTGTGCAGGCATGCCACTCTTAATTTGCACCCCTCACTGACCCAGGATCTGTTGTGTTAGGGGAGTTGTCATGCGTCAATCACGTGGTGATCACGCTGTCTTAACACCTTCCTGCCAAGCTCACCAATAGCAACACACTATGAGTGACGCTAACCAATTAGCTGCTCCAGCTCCTTGTGCTCTTGTGCGGCACGTTCTCAGCAAGTAAACAACACAGAATTATTGTCCAGACGCCAATCTTCAAAGCGAAACTCTAGTGAAATGGCTTCTGCAGAACCAGAACCGGAGTTAGGAGATTTAATCGCCAAGACAATGAGCACGTCGGTCATTTGGGAGTATTTGGGGTTTGAGACTGCAGACGTGCAACAAAAACGGGTACTGTGCAGAACCTGTCGCGATAAAGTTGCAACTTCAAGTGGAAACACGACAAACTTATACCGGCATCTGAAAAATCCTCACAAGCATTTGCACAAGGCATGCCTAGCAAAAAAGTCAGGTGATAAGTCGAGTGAAAGTGATGCTCAGGCCCGCTGTAGTAACCCGTCTACGATTACTGCATCTTTTGCTATTGTGACGCCGTATGATGCCAGCAGCAAAAGACATCCGGACATAACAACAGCCCTAACACACTACATTGCCAGGGACATGGTGCCTTTTAACACGGTCACTAAACACGGATTTAAAAACCTCGTCCACACGCTGGAAAGAAGATATGCGACCCCCTTCCGCACCTACTTCAGTCAGGTTGCCACCCCACAGCTGAAAAGAAAAAGTGGTAACAGAACTGAAAAATGTGCAGTATTACGCCACAACTACAGATATGTGGTCAACCAGAACGACCGAACCATATTTGAGTTTGACTGTAGATTTTGTGAATGACAAATTCGAAATGCAAAGTCGCTGTCTGCAGACAGCGTACTTCCTGCTGACCACACCGGAGACAATATTGCACTGGGTTTGAGGGAATGTCTGTCAAGTTGGGGTCTGAGAGAACAGGACCTGACGTGCATCACCACCGACCATCATCAAAGCGATGGAACTTAATGACTGGACCAGACTTCAATGTTTTGGACATAGGCTGCATCTAGCAATTGGTAAGTGTGTGTGCGTGTGTGTGTGTGTGTGTGTGTGTGTGTGTGTGTGTGTGTGTGTGTGAAGCTTGGTTTATGCTTGACGCGTTTACGTTCTGCTTGGTGATGCGGCTCGCGGATGGAACACACTTCACAACTCGCAGCGTTTATGGTTCATGCGGCTCGTCTCTGCGGTGAGCCAATATTCTCCCAAACTGTAGGGGGCAGCATGGAGCTCTACAGCATGCACCCAACACTACACCATAGTAGAAGTAGAAATTACTGTTTACAACATGGCATTCCAGCATTTTTTAACAGCGTCCTCATCTTTTCTGACAGTGCGAGCTATTTCTCTCCAAGAATTATTAACAACATGTTGATCACGGTGATCTCTGAGAGCTGAATCATACAAATGTCTGTATTTACCAACCTCTGCCGTACTAGTTCTTGCCGGTCCGCCATGTTTTTCCACGTCCGACCATCCGCGTGGTTAGAAAATTTCCTAGGTGTGCGGTGCGGAAACTTTGGGCCGTGCAGAGGCGCGGTGAAGGGGCGTGGTTGTTAAAATGACGTAATTTTGATGCGTGGAGCCGTGCGAACCTCGCGGACGCGTCAAGCATAAACCAACCTTAAGTGTGTGTGTGTGTGAGTGTGTGTTTTATTAATTTATACGTATTTAATGCGATGTGAAAATAATTGTGCAAAATGGTCTTAGATTTTTCATCGTGTATTTTTTAGTATCTATGAATTATTAATTAATAAATGTTAAACTCAATATTAGATGATAAACAATGTGTTAAGTGCTTTTGAAAGTCTATTTCTCTACCCGTCTACTCGTTTGCTTTCTATAGATTACGTTCTTGTATTTCTTTTGCTCTCCTGCTAAAAACACTTTTGAGCCTGTAATGCTCCTGTGTTCATGTTGTTTTGTTTCCTGCTGTTTGTCCACAAAATGCTGTTAAAGATGATGCAAGAGTCAAACGAGCAACTGGACTTTGCAAACAAACAGTGGGTGTCTTCTCTCATAGCTGGAAAAAGCACAGCAATAATTAAAATGACCAGAACACTCACTAATTACAGAGTGTGTGACAAGATGGGGTTCAAGGCAAAACATGATAGGGAGGGTGCTGAAGCAGAGCAAGGTGTTGACTCAAGTTCTGTCTGAAGACAAGAAGACACGTCACCTGGTCCCCACTTGGCAGGACTCAGATGTCCTTGGATCTATTAACAACGCCATTGGACGTCTGCAGGGATTCACAGATGCTCTTTCTGGTGAAGCATATGTAAGTGTGTCCTACCCGCAGCCAGTTCTCCATCTCCTGAGAACAGCAACCCTACGAGAGAAGGATGAGCACACAGATCTAACTAAGGAAATAAAGTCCGGAGCTCTTGCCTACATTGAAGATAAATAAAGTGACCCAGCCACACAGGAGCTGCTGGACCTAACGTCTGTCCTTGATCCCAGATTCAAGACTGACTACATGAGGGCAGAGAACGCCCCAGACATCACAGAAAAAGTCAAGATTCAAATGAAGCAGGTGGCACGAGACGTAACTTGTCTTTTTGTGTGTGTTTACAAAATGCCACAAGTTATATATTTTTTACATTCATTGTTTTTTTTTTTGTTTACATAAAAAGGCCAAATTGCGTAAGTCATACCAGAAGACAACATTTTGACACCTTAATCTTTGTTTTACAGGACAAGAGTCTCGTCACCACAGATGCCATGCCCCGGGGCGCCTCGGAGGCAGCTCCAGCCACCACCGAGGAGGGAAAGCCGTCACTGGGCAGCGTCTTCAACAGCAAGGCTGCTCCTCCTCCTTCCTTCACTGTGCGGTTGGAGGATGCTCTCAAAGCTGAACTGGACAACTACCTGATGAGTCCAACTATCGATGGAGAACAAGACCCTCTTGTCTGGTGGAGAGTGCACAGAGTTAACTTCCCATGGCTGAGCAGACTGGCTTGTAAACTCCTGTGCGCACCAGCCACTAGTTCACCACCGGAGCCATTGTTTAGTGCTAGTGGCGCTCTGGTCTGAAGCCAGCCAAGGTTGACATGCTGGTTTTCTTGACCAAACATCTGTAGTTGTGTAGAGTTGTGAAGGAAAGTGTTATTAAGGTTTTGAGCTTCATTTGTTCAGTTTGTCGCCCTGACTTAGTGTCAGGCTTTGTTTACAAAAGACATATTTGTTTTTCAGGAGAAGTGCAGTACTGTTGTGCAAGACCCTTTTTTCACTTTTGGGAATTTTTTGCACATTGCTTGTCTGTTTATTACGTATTTAACGTTCTTTAATTATTTGTATTTTATTTTATTTCAAACAACACATTTTTGCATTACTACTACTACTGTGGTTAACTGAGGATGGCTCTTTTAGCCCTTCATCTGTAACAGTCAAAAACTTTAAAGAATATTTATGCATGTTTCTTAATAAATATGTTTGCAAGGCAATCTTTTACCTGAAATCAGACTTTCTGGCTTTCTTTGTTTTTTGCTTCGCTGGTACGTTTGGAGAAGATACACAACCCCACTGTCTTCTACATTGCAAGCATAGGAGTTAATTTCTCAAACATTATGCTTTTTTGTGTTAACTCAGACTCTATATCCTTGCCTTGTGACAAGCCTGTGTTTTAGCCATATTAAGGTTAGTCCTTATATTCAGTTTGTTTCAAGTTATAGGCTTTGAGGCTTCACAGAAGTTGGTTGATGCTCTCACAAAATCTCTGACATGGTTGCTTCACTCTTTCAAAAGGTTTGGTGACAAAAATATAAATCTTTAACTAATTGTGCAGCTTACTTCAGCACTTACATCAAAATCCGTCCATCCTTACCGCCATCTTGACTGGACCCCTATTCTTTTGGTTTAGTACTCAACAACACTGGTGGCACCCTTTCTTTCCGAGTTGGAGGCTGGAACGCAAAACGAGCCCATTACATAATTTCCTCCTCGGAAACTCCGAGCTCCGAGGAAAACAGGAACGCACGGTACGTATGTATGTCTGTGGTTTACAACAACCGGTCGTAGTAGTGACGTTTATAGCCTACGGTCGTAGGAGTGACGTGTATAGCCTACCAGATATGATTTTATATTTAAATTAATTTTAAATTATTTTTAATTATATTTATATTTTACTCATCATGCCACACCTTGTGTCTGATTTTGTGAAAAAGCTTCACAAAATGTGTTTTTTAGTTGGGTAAGCACCTTCTTCAGTAGAAACGAATGCACTGGTCGCGAATGGAGACCCACCAAAGATGGCGGCCGCCCATAACGGGAGCCGTCTGCGGCGAGGAGACCCATCCAATAAGGCGGCGACGGGGCGTCGTATTTGTGTGGTTTCAGCGGAAGAGAAAGACGTCTCTGCTTTTATTTTGGAAAGCACCAACTTCCGGCGTAGTTAGCTAGCTGCTAGCGTTCCGTCTGACGCAGCAGAGGCGTCTCGTTACAGAGCGACAGCAGCCTCCGTGGACTTAAAGGCGGTTGTATCGGGTTACCGGGGCTCCCCTTTGTGCTCGGCAGCCGCCGGCCCAGTGGAAGCACCGGGACAACGTCGCCTTTCCTTTGCCGCCGCCGTTCAGCGGACCACACCCTCCCCGCTTCCTCGAAGCCAAGCATCGGGAGCGCGCAGCCTTCCTGCCACCACATAACTGGGGTAACTCTCCCGCCGCGGATCCCAAACGACCCTGGAGGAGCATCGACTGGGATGGGTATGAGAGACGAGTCCCTGCAGCGGGCACGCCACGGTGCCGACTCTCCAGCCCCGAGATGAGCTCCGGAGGAGGAGGGCGGACTGACGCTGACGGACGATGCCTGAGCAGCAGCTAGCTTCAAACCCCGGGCTGTGTTTGAGGAGGAAGCGGCTAAAAGCGGATTGAGGAGGCTTTATCGGACGCTCGCCCTCGTGGTGGATTTTCCTTAACGGACCTGATGAGAGGATGGTGCTGGAGGCTAACCCGAACCTAGAGAAGAGCCTAACGGGGCGCAGACCCGGCGGGTCAGACCCAGCCGGCACCAGCAGGACGACATCACGGAGCAGCTCCAGTCATGTCCACACAGGAGGAAGAGACTGTGTCATGTAGAGGTGATGCTGGGAAGCACCTGGAGCGTGGTGACGTCACAGACCTGAGTTAAACCTGTGTTATTGTGAAACATGTGACAGGCCAGCTCAAACAGGAAACGCAGTTGGCATGGTGTGTTGACTTCCTGTGTGCTGACTGACCCGGCTCTCTAGGACAGACGCTGATCTGTGCTCACCAGAAGCATGCAACGTGCAGACGCACAAAAACAAGTCATCTAACCGTAGCCCAGGCCCCGCCCCTCATCAGTATGGCCAGTGGAGGGTCTGCGAGATCAACCGGTGAAGGATCCAGCAGCCCAGTCGGCGCCAGTTTGCAGCAGAGGAAGAGGCTCTCCTCCATCTGTGATGCATGCAAAGCCAAGGTGCAGCTGGTGGCCGACCTGCTGCTGCTGTCCAGTGAGACCAGGCCAGTCATGACTGCTGAAGGTGCGGTGCTGGCCGACACATTCGACCAGTGCCGCGACACCGTCATAGCCAGAACAAAGGAGCTCTCCATCCTCACCCATGACATCCAGAGCCAGCTCAACATGGGCCGCTTCACAGAAGTGGGGGACCGCCTGCTGGAGATGGTGGACTTGGTGGTGTCTCTGACCGAGTGCTCCGCTCATGCAGCCTACCTGGTGGCCGTCGAGAGCCCAGGATCGCAGCCCTGCCTACCCGGTTTGGTGGACCGCTACAAGGTGACCCGCTGCCGTCATGAGGTGGAGCTGAACTGCAGCGTCCTCCGTGTTTCTCCTCTGACAGACCTTACCCCCCAGCTCCTGCTTGAGCTCTCCCAGAACATCTCGACCAACCTGAAGAATCTGTCGGACATCTCGCTGCTGGCCAGCGAGAGGTCCAGAGACCGCTTTGCTAAAGAGCAGTTCAAGTTGAGCGTTAAGAGCATCAGCACGAGCGGCATGGCCTTCCTGGCCTGCGTCAGAGAAGTCAAAGCCCAGCCCAGCGAGCTGACCCGGAACCGATGTGTCCTGTTCAGTGCTGCTCTGGTCCAGGCCGTCGGCGCCCTGGTTGGCTTTGCCACAGAGCCACAGTTCCTTGGAAGACCTGCAAGTATTTCATCTGAAGGAAAAGGGGTGCAGACTGCAGTGTTGGGGGGGGCGATGAGCGTGGTGTCTGCCTGCGTTCTCCTCACTCAGGGCCTTCGAGACGTCGCCCAGCATCCCAACGGCAGCTCTAAAATGGCCGAGTACCGGGAGCGTCTGCACAACTCGGCGTGTGCGATTTCTGACGGCTGCACTCTGCTGACTCAGGCCCTCCGAGAGCGCTCCTCTCCGAGGACCCTGCCTCCCGTCAACTCTTATTCCATGAGTTAGTCCGGGAGACGGCAGCGTGCGGTTCTGACGCGCCAACGAGGATCCTTCGTCCGTTACTCTAGTCACTGCCGAGTCCCGCGTTGTACCAGGTGGGACCTGGACCTGACAGCTCTTTACCACAGACCTGAACGTTTACCTCAGTTTGTGTCCTGGTGAACACACGCACACACACACACACACCTTGACGAGTCGGAGTGTGTGTGCTTGGTTGATTTTCTATGAGAGTGAAACCGTTAAAAGCTGCTGTGATGCTGTGCTCTTGGTTTGACACTATTTACTAGATTGTTGTACTTTCAGGTGTTCTGACCTTGCATGTGATGGAATATTTATTCTAACTATTAAAACGGTTGGTTCTGGCTCTGCTGGTCATCACTACTGGACCTCTAGTCTCGGAGACGGTAGCAGGTCTGCTGCAACCCCAATAGATGTTCTGCAGCACCAGACGCTAGCTCGCTCCTCTAGATGCCAGAGCTCTGAGTGAGGAAGGGTTTTCCTTCGGTCTGCTGCCTCAACTAAAGAAAATGTCACAAACAAGTCAGACCTACGGATTTGGTTTTAAAACAAGACACAGATGCGTAGTGGCCCTTTAGTCACCGGATCCTTCCTGAGTTAAATGCTCAAACTGTGTGCTGAAAGTGGGATTTTTTTTATTGCAGAGTTAGTTTTAAGCAAATAAACTGAAATTCAGGTGTGTGTGTGTGTGTGTGTGTGTGTGTGTGTGTGTGTGTGTGTGTGTGTGTGTGTGGACATAATAGTATTTTCTGCATTCTAGTGCATTTTATCAGGTTGTGACTTCATGATTATGTTTTAAATGCCAACTGTTAGAAGTGTGTTAAACATCAGCTCAGGTAGAAATCCCGTTTCATGGGGGGGGGGGGGGGGGGGGGGGGGGGGGGCATGAGAAAAATGGCTGTCTCCTGCTGTTCTCTCCTGCAGCCAATCAGAGGCAAGCTGCCTGAACAGCAGGAAGTAAAACAGTAGGGTGTTTCTCAACGCCACGGCCGGTTCCGCCCTTCCTCGGTGATTTTAGACATGTACGTTTGAGTGTATGTATAGAGAGCATGTGTGTACTGGTTACATTAAATATGTAAGATGCAACCACTAAAGCCCCCCCCCCCCCCGTAGCCGACTGCTGTACCACACCACGTTTATTCATAAACAGCATGACAGCTGACCTCAGTGCTGCACAGCACGAAGCAGGGACGCTCCATAATAAAAGAAAAACTAGACAGCTATAAGATAAAACACGAGCTCACAGATTCACAACAACAACAACAACAGTAGAACGACATAACAACAAATAAAACACGCCGCTAAAAATGTAAGAAACAAAAGCAGGGAAAGCACCACAGAACATTAAAGCAGTTGTAAAAGATGGTAGACCGGGCCGACGGCCCAAACAAGGTCAGAGAGCTACAGCTGGCTTACATTTAAACCGGACACTTGCCCCGAAGTAGCTGCCGGCCTCTGGTCCGCCATCTTTTTGAAAATATTCTGGGAAGTTTTTGGCTAGGCTAGGCTAGAAGGCGCCTCCCGTCTCTCCTCACTCAGCTAGCTAAACGGCTAACTAACGAGAAAAGATGCTTCGGTAGAACGTGAACATTGGAACACGTCTCAGTGGTTCCTGATGGCGTATCTCCTAGGCGACTGGGGGGGGCAAGACATCAAGGCGAGGTTTGTTGGTGTTGAGAAACACCCTAAGACTCCCGTTTCCTGCTCCCCTCTACTCCAGCGAACTTGTAGTTGCTGACACGGGAGCAGCAGAGCTCTTCCCACCGAGACGAGCTCACAAGGCCTTAGGTTACACTAGAGACTCAGCAGACGTGCTAAAGGAACCAGTGAACCTGGCTTTCCAATAAATAATGTTATGAAAAGGTAATGTCCTACGACATGTCTGGAAGCTTTTCACAATAAAGCGTTTGTTCCAGTCTCAGATGCCACATTCCAGCATGTTCGGGTTCTTCTGAGTGCAGCTGCTCTACAACAGGACGGTGAACTGAGGACAAAAAGGAAGGGGCTGTAACCCCTGGACCACATCAGACGCGGAAGCGCCGTGGAACGACGGGCGCTTCTATGCGGCGCCCTCGTTTAACCCACGGTGTCGTCACATCAGCTGCGGAGCGCCACGAAGGCTCGCACCGTGCAGCGACCGTTTCGGCGTGCTCTTATTCTTTTCGCGAGCCGCGTCAATTCTGGCAGGAAGTCAAACCAAAGGAAGAGGCGGGTGGGTAAATTCAACAAAATTAAGACTTTTTCAAAATAAAACACTGCCATTGATCATGTGATCATTCTTGTGTTTCTAAACAGACTGGAGGGATGAAAATGAACACACACACACACACACTCCTGCGGAGAAACGCAGTGCTTCCATAATTTTAACTGCAGGTTTTACAGCAAAGATGGGTTCAATAAATATGAATAACAAACAAATGTGTTTAATTCAAAGGTAAATATTCAACAGCATCGTACCTTACCACTAACACTAGCTATCTACTCACCCCTCTAGAAAGGAACTGGTCTAGAAAACAGCAGCAGGATCAGTTTCTGATATCATCAAGCAGGGGTAACTGCTTTCACACACACACACACACAGCGGGAGGGGGGGTAATCAGTAGGCGTGAGCAGAAGTGAAGTGAACAGAGGAGCAGCGTGTGAATTTCGTGAGCGATCCACTTCGCGGTGCTTTGCAGCTGGTGTGTTGCTGGTGTAACTGGTGAGTTTTAGCCCTCAGATGGAGATTCGGGGTGTCAGGGTCAGGTGAAATCCTAGAGATCACATATAATTGGAGGCAGGGGCGCTGAACGATGATGGTGATTACCCTCTCAAGGCAGGCGCTGCTGGTTTTTCCTGTTACTGGATCATGCACGTAATTTTCACTTAAAAAGTGGGGGGGACACGGGTGTGTGTGTGTGTGGGGGGGGGGGGGGGGGATCTTTACAGTATGCTCTAATGGGAAACAGGCTTTTCCGCTTGGTCCTAGAGCTCAACCAGTGTCAATTTAATATAGTGTAATATTGTTTTTGGATGGTAAAATGTGCAGGAGTTAAAACTTGACTTTGGAAAAAGTGGGGGGGGACATGTCCCCCCTGTCCCCCCCACAAATCACGTCCATGTACTGGATAGTATGTCATGGCCAGCGATGTGTTCAGCCTGGTTGAGCTTGCTTGCAGGTGGTCGGGGGGGTCAAGCATTTACCCTCAAACAACATTGGGCCGCCATCTTGGATGGGTCTCCATTTGCACCCACTGTATTCATTTTAGCTGAGTAAGATGTTCACTCAAATAAAAAATGACATTCATCAAGCGTTTTATTAAGATCAGACAACGTACGGCAAGACAGGACAGAGTCATCTTCTGATGGTAAATACAGAAACTATAACTTAGTTAATAAAAACAGACTAGAAAAGTCAGCAGTAAACGCGATCTGTTTTCAATAACACGTCAGGTGGTGGAACTGGGGTCGATCGATTCATCGGGATGGTTTGTATCTTTTTTTTTCTTTTATCATCGCCGTTGGCTGATAAGTTAGAGATGATTTAAAGTCAGGCAGATCTGTGGGCAGCCCGGTGCTGTGGGCTAAATGCGAAGGACCCCATACCAGAACATTAAGAATGTTTCCTAGTAAAAGGCACGGCTCGTATTGTGAGGTGGAGTGCACCCGCTAGTCGTACCTTCAGCCAGTCCTAACCTTGACCCCTGACTTAGCCAAGTCAGACGTAACGACTGGAGTTAGAGCCAAGTGTACCGACACAGACCACGATAGTCGCAGCTGCACCTGGTCTTAGCCTACGCATTCACAAGGATGCAAGCAGGGTTCCAGATTCACTTCTTAGATCACCAGCCAGAATGTCCTCTAGCCCAGGGATTCCCTAAGTGTGGAGCTGCCGCTAGGAGGTGCGCGAGGTGAAAAGTGCAATGGCTGCGGGAGCGAGTCTGTCATATGTCACAGAGGCAATCCTTTGGAACCACGGCCAACGGGTGCAGAGGAGCGCATGCAGGAGTGAGTGATTTTAAACATCTGGCTGAAGTAGCACCTAAGGAGATGCGTGGACAAAAGCATCCTCCGCTCAGCCTTTCACGGAGCAGCGCCGCGGTGATTCACAGCGCTAACTTCTCTGCTCCGTCAGAACATTTGATCAGGTGCTGGATGCAGAGACAAGCGATGGCTAGCCTACTCCGTCATTAAAGAATATTTAAGTGATTTTAAACAAGAAAAGTCTCCAAATGAAAACAGAAGCTTCTATTTAGGGATCATAAACATCGAGCAATCTCTCCAGTTGTGAACCTCACCCCCAGGATGCTTGTTAGTCCGTGTGGCGGATTCAGCCAGAACATTAAAACAGCCGTGAGCCTGTCTGAGGCTGAATCCAGAACTTCATCATGACTCCAGGCTCTTCAGAGAGCCCCATTAGGGAGCTTCGATTACACACTAGCAGGTGACCAGTTCAGCTTTACTTGGGAGCACAGCTAAACGTTCCTACTTTAAGAGAAACCCTTAAAGGCCCCGTGTGGGAAATCCATTGAAACCATGATAAAAAATGCGACTCTTTAGCGCCACGCAGTTCAGAGAAAGTATTGCAGCTACGGTGGCCCACTCATGAGTTTGACTGTATAATGGATTTCCAACCTGTGTAGCCTAACCCGCAAAAAGCATAAAACTAGTTACTCGACCTTTTTTAAAAAAGCTTTTATAATTATGACTGTTTATCAAGTTCAGTTTCAGTTCAGTTCAGTTTTAGTTTATTTGTCATATGCAAGTTAGCACAGGGTCAACATTGCAATGAAACGTGTATGACGAGCAGCGGTCTCTCAGCAACATGATACAGGAGGAAATATAATAAAATATAATAAAATAAAGCAAAAAAATATAGTAAGGAGCAAAATATTAGAGAGACATGGTAAAAGGGAAAAGATGACTAAATATATATGTGTCAATAAAGAAAATCCTGAAAAGAAATATGACGGGAGGGCAGATGGGATATTGCACAGGAATGAGCTGCAGAAAATTACAGTATTGCACTTTAGATATAAATTACAGTATTGCAGGATATAAATTATGCAGGATATAGATTACAGTGTTGCACTTTGGATATAAATTACAATAACAATAAAGTGAAGTGACCAGTACGGATTAAATATAGTACTTGTGAAGCTGCAGGGTAGCTTCTGAGTCCTGTGTTGTGTGTGTTTAGGTGTTGTGGTTGAGGTGTCGTATGGCTTGATGATAGAAACTGTTTTTAAGTCTTGTAGTCCGAGCAGACAGACTCCTGTAACGTCTGCCAGATGGTAACAGGGAGAACAGCTGATGTGCCGGGTGGCTGTGGTCCTTGATGATGCTGTGTGCTTTCCGGAGGCATCG